AATAGTCCCTCAAGCAACTTGGATGTCGCTCGCCAAAGGTCATTACCAAAGAGCATTGTAAGTGATTTACCACGGAATGGTTTGCAGATTCTGAAGCCCCGTCAATTACCGCAACGATTGCGAAAAACACTGCGGGATCAGTTTGATCCCGATCGTCTCCAAAGTGCTAGCTTCGGTTATACTTCAACGTCTAACGTCTTTAAGAGAGACTAACATCCGTGAACCGCAAGTCGGATTCCGGCCTGGTTGTGGATGTATTGATCAGATTTTTATGTTGTGTCAGCTCGTTGAGCTGCGTCATACCCACCGTCGGCTAACGATCGTAGTGTTTCTTGACCTGAAAGGAGCCTTCGACTCAGTTGACCGCGAAGCTCTGATGGGCTCCGTTCTTCGAAAAGGAATGCCCCAGAAGTACGTTAACCTACTGAGGTCACTGTACTCACATACCTCCGGTCGTGTAAGGGTATACAACGAACCAAGTAGGCTGTTCGTTACCAGCAGCGGCGTTCGTCAAGGGTGCCCTCTTTCGCCGTTCCTGTCCAATGTCGTCGTACATGAAATCCTGGAGAGCGCACTAAGGGGACTCCAAAACGTAGGTACTGAATGGACAGCTGGAGAAAAGCTGTGCGATTTGGTATACGCCGATGACATCGTCTGTCTGGTCGAATGTGTGGATGATGCGCAAAGCGCACTTGATAGACTAACAAGTGCAGTAGCCACTTTCCGTATGTGCTTTGCACCTTCAAAGTGCAAAGTGATGCTGCAGGACTGGGTTTCTCTTACTCCCGCTCCGAAACTGAATGGTCAGGATTTAGTTATGGTGGATTATTTTTTCTACTTAGGTAGTTGCGTGACCAATGACGGTAGCGCAGCAAAAGAGATAACTGCTTGTACTTCCAAGGCTCGAGCAGCGTACGCAGGTTTGAAACACCTTTGGCGTAGACGCGACGTTTCACTGAAATTGAAAGGTCGTGTATATTGTGCCACCGTTCGTTCAGTTTTGCTTTATGGTTGGGAGACCTTGAATTTGCGAATAGAAGATATCCGTCGACTGGAAGATTTCGATTATCGGTGTTTACGCAGTTTAGCCCACGTTGGATAGAGCGAACGGGTCAGTAACGTGGAGGTAAGCCGTCGTGTGTTTGGGAGTCTATCAGGTACAAACCTGATGGCATACCGAATTCAGATTACTAGGCTTCGCTGGCACGTATTGCGTATGCTCAGCCATCGTCTGCCTCACCGCGCTTTATTCGCTGTAGCTAATCCGGCTTGGAGGAAACCAAGCGGAGGTCAACAGATGACGTGGAGACGAGGCATGAAGAAATGCACAGAGCCATTAGGTAGAGTAGGTGTCTCTCGCCTTCCAGGTTGGGGTCCGAAAGACTCCACAACTGGCAGGTTGGAGAAACTGAAGGATATGGTAGCGAACCGATTGCAGTGGTGTTCCTGTTGTCGTTTCTTATCAGGTCAGAATGCTTGAAGTGGTATGTATGCAGAGTTCGATTGCGTACTCTGTGTGTTGACCATAGTGGCTCACCTTCTCCCTCCATCAAAATAGATTCAATCCCAATCCAACTTAAATTTTACCACTAACCTTGTATGCATTGCGAGTTAGGCAGCGATCAGTGAAGTTCATTTAACTGTATTTCGCTGTACGGAATGATGCTGCTGCTGCTGATGATGATGATTATGATGATGATGATCGCCTCTCAGCTCGAAACACGAGAGACCATGAATGAGACAGAAACGTGCACGGATTACTACTACTCACTGATTTGGTTGATTCGAATGTGGACAGTCGAGTTAGCAATTGCAACGCGACAGAGTTCATTCCAATTTTTCGATACGCCTTGATGATATCCAAAATCCAGTCGTAGTGTTTCTCGGCCAAATCGTTGGTTAGTTGTTTCAGTATGTGTGGCTAAACGGGAATGAAAGGAAAGAGCAGTGACTGGTATGAAATCCGAAGGTTTCGGGACTCTGGAACACAGACAAAAATAACATCGTTTATCCAACCAGTCCGACAGTCCTTTAGGGAAGAAAAAACTCGCACTGAAGCGGAATCGACTAGAAATAACAAGATGTAGGGACACAAGGCATGAGGAACACAGAGAACAGAAAATGACCTATCAGAAAGTGGAGCTTCAGAAACGGAAACTACACAAAATGTGAGGTAATGAGACCGGGGGAACGTCGAAGTCGGTAACTGGTTTGTGAAAAATGGTCATCACAAATGCATCCGATTTGTGCGACACAACCAACAGATCTTACCGTGATCGCTTTGGTGAAATGAAGTTGGACAAGCACNCAGTTCGGTGGATAATGTGCGCGGGTATGTACATCTGTAACATAGAGAAAGACAGTGAGTAGGAGATGTTAAGTGTGGATAGTGACGAGCACAGACAGAGGACGAGTAACAGGGGCAGTTATAGCACGCGCAAAATAGACCTGATTCGGATAGGTGGACGTCGAAACAATGGCAGAGATCAACCCAACGCAGAGTGAATATTCGCATGATGTATTTCATTCGCAATTCGATCACCAATAGTGAGTTGGTTGTCTTGATACGGGGGATGCGTGAACACCCTGAATTATATTCACAACCGCAGTGAGGTGGGAATTCGAACCGGGTGAATTATGTAGGCTCTGGATATACAACTCGCACTACCAACTGTGCTACATCCCCACTGATTCCACGAATCTTAAAGTAACAGTACTCCTCGTGTGACACATTTGCATCCCGTATGTATGTACGAGGACCATGCAGTGCAAATTTGATGACAGGACCACACGATCTCGTCACTGTACCTCAGTTGATAAGAAATTTTCTCGCCCAAATGAACAAACCTTGCCTCCGGATGACAGTATTTGTAATTGTAATTATAACTTCGTTACGCATAAACCCTACACTACAGTTAAAAGTGTTCAAATCGGAGAGAGAGGGGGGGAAGCTAAATCCCAAAACTTCTAACAAAGTCTGTGAAAAGCTGTTCTTTGTTAACTAAACCACGTGCTAATGAGGGTACCGTAGAGTTACGATATGTTTATTCGAAAGGGAACACAACGATATTGGAATCTGGTTAACGGATGGGAACAAAAGGAAGTTGAATCTGTATATAGCGGATGTGTAGGGTCAATGAGAATCTTATGCGCAAACGTTTTACATGCATTCAAATGCCATTCGAACAGATTATTTACCAACACCTTCAGTGGGATTGAAGAGACGCGGCTAATGATGGTCAGTCCAAGTCGAAGGAGTTTGAAATCTTTATTTAGGAGATTTGAAAAAAAAAACAGGTGAACAATCAAGTAAAATGGAGGAAAACACATTGATACACGAATTTGGTAATTGATTGTTGAATAGGAAACTAACGAAGTTTACGGATATAGAAAGAAAGTCGCCCAAGTGTACTGACAATATGTTGACTGTGAGAGGTCCGATGAAGATCAATATCGATAAAAACGCCCAGGTATTTAATATAGCTTACCCGGGATACTGGTCTAGAGCCAATCGATATCGGTTCAGATGGGAAAGAAGAGCGTGATAATGTAAAGAGACATTCAAAACACTTGGAGGGATTATAAGAGACGCTGGATGGGGGCGGAATATTGTTGAAGATGATGACATGTTGCGTTTTCTTTTCGCGCGACAAACGTTCCTTTTTTTATTTTGAACTTGGGAATATGTGTTCAGTAAAATTTAGTGCTCACTTATTCACCCGAACGACCGGTTCAGTGAATGCTCGGTCGTGAAGCTGCTCCTATTGCGAACAACCAAATAAACTCATTCTACAACCTAGTCGGTTTTACCACCTGGAATGCGAGCGCAAAAATTGCGACAAAAATTGCTCCCCGAATGCGCACACATGCTAGGGGGACACGAACGATCAACCAGTACGAATTTCTCTCTTTCACTCTTTCGCTCTCAATTATTCCACCAGAAAGGATGAAAAACCAACCTGATAAACTGCTGGATCTGATCCGACGACGCAGTGATCGAATTGGGGTCCAAACGTTTGCGATTAGACGTCATCAGATTGACCTCACAGTAGGTGATAAAGAACTGAAATGAAACGCGAGAGCAGGGGAGGGGAGTGGGAAATCAGACAGTTTGAACAATTCACCAATGTGACACTGAACGAAATTAAAACCGAATAAGATCTACAACCGTGGGCTGGAAAATCCAGAGAATATGTTTCACAATCGAAATCAGTAGCATGAATGAATAGGGCAAACGTGAATTCGGAGTGTTCACAACCTTATATTTCTCTTCGGTCACAAACCAACAGATCAAAAACAACAAATGTCTAGAATGCGTACGGAAAATCAAGTCGGAAATCAGACAGACTTACCTTAAGTGCCTCCTTGTACTTTTCACCTTGCATAAGTATGGAGAGTAAGCTGTTTTTATCTGAAAAAAAAAACAATGCAAAAATGACTAAGTCACCTAAAGCTGCCAGAAGGGTGACTCTGTTCGCTCTACGCGCATACAGGAGTGTAGGTAAACGTCCACTCATGCGATGATTGCAAGCCGCATGATTGAATTAACAAGGCAATATGATTGAACACCTGATTTACTTCCAAAATCTCATTCTGTGTACCTGTTAAAACTGCTGATGTTCTATTGTGTAAACAATTGTAGCTCAAGCGACAAACTCACTGGTTTCGAAAAATGAACTAATGATAGACGCGGCGACAAGTCAACGAATAAGACATGAATGGCGATACTTTCGACTAACTGCACCGCGACTCTCGCCTCCTCGCTGCTTTGTGAACTACTATTCTGTCATTCCACAATACCTTTGAAAATTATATATTCGAGAGATGTATTACTACAACTCAGACATCCGCGTTCCTTTCAGCAGAGCAGAAAAATTGGATGAAGATGCTCAGGAAAGCAGAGGACCCGAAATCGCGCAATTTCTGTAAAAATGACTGTTCCTTCTTTCAGCAGAACAAATGTCTGATTCAGTTATTGATACGCTGAGAACAATATTCAGGTCTTTGACGATTAGTTGTAACATTTGATCAACTAACTATTAATTATAGTTAACAGATATTCTTCATTGGTAGGAGTGGCTGGCTTTGCCTGTTGGACGCCATATTTCACAAGTTTTCAGGCCTCGGTCGCCTTCAACTCTTCGGGTGCTGCACCATAGGTCGAACCGCTCCGCCCATTCCTCGATCTCGGATGGACTGGTATGCATGTTCAATTGCTCCATGGTCGGCAGCTCCGTTGCGCGATGCTGCATTGTTATAACCGGATTACGGGCGAATCACGAATCGTAATCGCAAACGAGTTAAGGAATCGCACCAGCTGTCGTATGCTGGAATCTCCCATCACCAAGACGCAGAGAAATCGTCACAGAAACAGTGGGTGGTTTATTGAAGAAAATCAATGGGATTAAACAATATGTACAAATAAATGTCATAGGTTAAACAGGTCTTCGCCAATAGCCTGGTTGCATTCTTGAAGTCATACAACATCCGTTTAAACCGCACGGTTTCTGACTGGTTAGTACTATTGGTCTGTAGATCGTTATCCAGAAACTGTAACGAATCGCACCGTAGCTGTCGGTATCTCATAGGCTAGGATCACCACAGTTATGAATGTCACAAAACAGGTTGCAATGGCGCGTGCTGTTTGCTGAGGCAGGCAATGGGTGGGAAACGGTCCAAGGTGGTCAAGCAAAAAGGGTATGAGGGTATGAAAACCCTGACCAACAGACTCGNGACTCGGTCATATAGGTTGCGTTAGGCTACTTGGAGGGGGATCTCGGAATCATTGCAATCGAGGCTTGGAGACAGAATGACAAATGAGTGTCGTAAACAGTGGCACTACGGCATCCTCTCAATCTCTTTGCAACCTTAGTCATCATGAATGTTCTACTTTCCCCTGGACACAGCTTTGAACATTTCAAACATCCCTCACCCCCTTTATCCAAATAGGAAGCTGAAACACATCGACCAAGTCGAAGTATGAAAGTGCACGTTTCTCGGTTGTACAAACTGAGCTGGACTGGAAAAGAACTACGCTCGAACAATTTATGACTTGTATTCACCACCCACCCCCGTCGACCATATACCGCTCTAATGGTTCAAATGAAACGAGTAATTTGCACAGACCCTCAAACGACTGACCTGATTCCGTTCCGGATTTAGGAAACTTTTCAAAAGCCGCCTCGTACGCCCGTATAGCGCTGTTCGGATCCATTAGTTTGAAGAATTCCTGAAAAACACACATGAGGAGATCACAATCAGTCGCGATAAGATATTCTGAACTGTTATTTTTCTCATGTAGCTAAATGATTGATTGATTGGTCTAGGCAACTTACATCGGCTAGATTTCGAGCAACACGAAATTGGTCCGACCCGGTCGATTCCGGTGTCTGAGACAGAGAAGACAGGCGATGAAACAGTGCCTCACGACGATGCCCAGCACGTTCCAAATAATCGATCAGGCGTTGTCGAATAGAAGCGTCTTGTCTATCTCCACGAAACGCTATGAGGAAAGATAGAACGAAAAGGGATCAGTGGAGATTGTGTGTGTGTGTGTGTGTCTAAGGTGGTTGGCTGGCTCGCTCGCTCACATGCGTTTGTCCACAAATCATTGCACCTTTTATGTACATATTCATAGGCATAGTCAACCGAGATCAACTGGTGTATGACGAGATGCTGGATTGGAGGAAACATGTACGAAGAACAAGGATATCGCGTTTAAAACAATTCCGTATGTGGGAAAAAAGCGGAAAGGATATTTAATTCGATTAAGAAATGAATTTCATAGTACGCAGAACCATGTGAAACTGAGATGAAAAGCGAAGAAGCCCCGTAAGTTGGTGTTGTACTTGTGAGGTCCCGAGTTTGATTTTCATTTACCCTAGGTCGGGGTCATCATGGAGTCTTGTTTTACCTCGTTATGGTTGTTTGCACGCCTCAGTGCGGTGAATGAGTGAAATATGTTGTTACAAAGATCTGTTGTTTACTAATGGGGATCGCTAACCGAAGCCCTCTGAAATAGAATATTCAACTACACAAGGCTCCCAAAGGACTAGTATGTGGTTGATCCGGAGGACGGAAATTCTACCGATCACGGAGGTAGTCGAAACAGAGACACTCGAACGCGGAGCTCGTAGCTCAGCTGGTAGAGCATACGCGCGAAAAGATCAGTGCTATCGGTGTGGCTTCGTAGCTCAGCTGGTAGAGCATGCGCGTACAAAGCTAAATCGGCGTCCATGCGTGGGTTCGAATCCCACCGAGGCTACTGAACTTTTCACAATCGACATACAAACCTCAAATCTGCCGAACAACTATTTGAATAATCTGTTTGTCTTCATCTCTCTATTCGTGTCGCTAAAACAGCTGACTTCATGATCTGTTTGACACATAGCATTGATCCGGATTGGTATGAAATACACAGGATATATCCGGTGAGAAATGCTACAATAAGATGAAATACCCATCAGACAGACAGTCGATCGGAAACTAATTGGGGAAGAAAAAGAAGTCACGATTGCGTTTCTTGACATTCGTGAAAAATTACCCCCAAAAGCCAACAACGGTACACTCGTCACGACCGACGGAACCAGATGAACAACTATCGAGATTCGCGGTTAGGGGATTTCAGAGATTGAGAAAAATGAGAACGTAGACCCTTCTGAATAAGATACAGAAAAAACCAGCACATAATGATCTGATCCATGGTGTCGAACCTCGTGTAAAGCCGATAAAGTGCAACATAACGAACCCATTACTCCAACCTTAAAAGGTACATTCCAAAACGATGCCCTAGTACCTATATTTTTTCGTTCACTCATGGTTATCTTTGGCACCGTATCTGTAAAGATTGGTGTAAATAATAATTTAAAAAAAAACAGAGCAAAAAAGGGTGCGTGCAAACATACCTCGTCTGGTGTAGTACAACGCCAACGCTAGATCATTTTTCTCTTCAGCGATTTCGACCAATGAGAGCCACAAATTGCTATCCATAGGGCACCGTTCCGCAGCCGATTGGAGCAGCTATATGCAGGATGGGAGTTGTGGTAACAAAGAACAGCTAGATCGCGAATAATTTCACTTGGTACATGAAAGATATACGCTAGATGTTTTTCATTATGAACACTTAAGACTGTCTGTTTACAAGTTACCGTGGTGTTGGTGGTGGTTGCAGTGATTGTTATTATTGTTGTTGCTGTTTTTGTTATGAGGTCGCAGGCTCGAATCCTGTCGGATTTCAAAATTCCCTTTTTAGGAAACCACATCCGATTGAAAGATGAGTCCCGACATGAATCTTAAGTGAGGGTGTAGTTTGGTAAAAACGAGTCACATGATATTTTACACGAAAAACGTGTACAAATGTTTAACGGTACAATATTTGGTGAGGCTGTGTTCTACCCAAGATTCTGAGTTCAAGGGCAATGATACGGAACGCATGCTGGCCACACGGGGAACTCGACATTTATTATTGGCTAGTGCAAAACATAGACCAGTGAATGTACAGGGGTCGAAGTGCGCAATCACTACCACCAAGACTGGCCGCGTTAGGTAGCTACCGATTTTCGGAGTAGGGCCGAAAAAATGATGAGCAAGTCAGGTTGGAAACTAGAGTGACAATGACTATACCATTTTAAGTTAGATTTGGGAAATTATAATTTTCATTTGAGAATTTGGAATTGAGAGATCATCACTTCGACCTGAGAAAGAATCGCTGTGGTTGAATCCGCTTCCGTTCAGCACACCTCATTTTTTCTACCCCCGGATTGATCACCTGTCTTCCCACGCTCTTTCTGTGTTAAAATGAGGCAGACCTCAGTCGTGCATCTTGTCGAGCTCTGTGACGGAAATTGAATCGGTGGGTCGGTGAAGCCACGCTGTTTGCGTGTGACAACCAAGCTGGACTCCACTCGATATGAATGAAGGGTGACGCACTGTTTCGTGCGCACTACAGTTAAAGTACATTTGATCGTAGTTGCTCCAACATGGACGATAGCTCAATAATCAAATTGAAGTGACGGTGGTTTCACTTGAAGCTTGAACGTACAGGAGAAAAGACTGCATCGTGATGTCGCTTAGCATATAAGCGATAAGTGATAACGTAGTACACTTTGCATTGAACTATCTCAGCGATCCACAGAAAAGGAAAGAGCCTTAAATAATAATAGGCATTTGAGTGATACGAACATGACGCCATGTATCAGCTAGTTGACCTAACTTATAGATACTAATTATGTGCATTTCCGTCGAATATTTTTGCAAATCTGCCGGAAAATGGCTGCGGATTATTCTCAGTGTCCTCACATTGGTCAATGTGCTGGCCAACCACTCGCTCGTAAAGGAAATTTCGCCGTAATACTACATAACTTCTGGATGTTCTTTATGCAGCAATAATTTTTCACACTAATTTTCACAGGAAATAATTTTTCTGACAATCAGTACCTGCGCTTTTCACTTTGAAAATATCTCTTTTTTTAACGAATGGATTATATTCTGTTCTATGGGTTTGGCGAAGAATGAGCAGTTTGATAAACTATNATGAGCAGTTTGATAAACTATAACATTTTAAGACCATGTAGGAATGGAACTTAGTACTGATTTGAAAGGGGTTGATGAAAATGATGCTGTTGTATGCATCAGCATCCACTACACCATCGGCATTCTTAAGCGTGAAAACTATTTCACAATGGAAGACCTAATGTCATTAGGACACGTGAACTGGAATCAGTCAGTGAAATAGTTTTGCACCCAATTCAGCAGATGTAGCTCAGAGGTCTTGAGTAGTACTCACCGTGGAGTATTACGCTACTTCACAAACACTAATGATGTCACCTCGGCTGGTGATGAAACATTTGTAAACGAATTACCAAGCTCGGCGAACAGGCGAAATAGTATTCAGTTCACCCGAGCTAAGAGAACCGATTTTCAATACTTTGTCAACAGAACGCAACCATATTGGAGTTAGTTGATCAAAGGAACGGGGACGAATAAGCGCTTGGGATGGAAGGTC